ACGAAGACCAACGTACTCAAATTTACTTACAACAACAGGGTGATTCAGGGAAAACATCGCAATAATCTGAAATAAATATGATTATAGAAATTAATTCGATTAGCCAAATTAAATATTTTAGCCAATATGATTAACAAATGCATGTTACATGTAATTGGCAAAATATAAATGATTTCTTTCCCAGCATGACCTGAATATAGGGTTAACCTCAAGGTCCTTTTTCAAATACCAATCTATAATTTGTATTGTTATTTGAAATAAAGTATTATTATTATTAACTGTATATATTTAAAAAAGTTTATTTTTATTACTATAAATATTTGTTTCTTGAATCTTCAAAAACATGCGACGCGTATTTATTTTATGTTTAAAAAGTTTTAACGGTTTCTATAATTAGGGGGAAATTGTGTTCGCTTACTCCTACTTACAAATGTCGTGAATCTTAATTTTAGACGTGCGAGCTTTTCTCTTATTTTTTGAACACAGTTTTTCAATAGCATTCTATTTATCTAAACACGCCACTCTATTTTTCTTATATTAACTCAACGAAACTCTTTTTCTAACTAAAATACAGCTGGTTACCTTTTAAGTCTTTTGTTAAAATTTTCTTCTCTACACCTTTATTCATATCCATAGCAGGAAGACCTTGAATTTGAATTTTCAACTTGGCTCCCAAACGAATTTCATCGAATGTGTAGTTCACGTAAAGATCTCCGATATCAGATTCCCAAATAAACTATGCACAGAGGAGTAGCAAAAAGTTTAAGAGGTACTGTAGGTACAAATGTGGCAGCAATTTCCGCACGTATATATACAAAATTTGCTAAAGGCTATATTTTATACAAAAAGGCTATATTTTCCTCATTTTACAACAATTCACAACCAAACCTTGCAATTTTACTCATTTTTTTAATTGTCATGATAAAAAATTAGTCTATAATGGGAATTGTCAATTGAATCAATAATTTTACCCATTGCGCTCATGAATATTCACTATATATTTGTATATTGTAAACCATGCTATGTATTATAGAAAGTAACACATATACCTTTCTGTTCACTTGTATGCATTGGTGAAAACCCAGCTCAGAAGAATCCGCGTTAGCTAAAATGATTTGCCAACCCCAAATGTTGGAATTACCTAAATTTAAAAAAAAGATTTTTAGGAATAACAGTTTGTATACAGGGTGTATAAAAAAAGTACACAATTTTGAAACGGCTTTCAATTTCACAAATCCGTTCATTTGATGAAATTTTTAATAAATATAAATTGGGTACTTATAATGTTTTTATAATATAGAATAAAGAAAAACGTTTTGTAGAGATAAATTTTCCAGAACAGAGGTGTGTCTTTTTAAGCATTAAAATATCTTGCGCGCAAAATTTAGAAGTTTAAAACACATTTTGAGTTCATGCGCGAGAAATTTGTGACGTGTTTTATCAATTGTCCAAATATCAGAAAATATACTCAATTTTAAGGCCTTTAAATAGCTGCAGAAATTTCATTTTTTGACACCAATGCTTATATAATGCACATGCTTAATAATTCATGCATTTACATAATTTGCATATTGTTATTGTAACTAGTAAAATAACAATATGCAAATTAGGTAAATGCATGAATTAAGCGCATGCGCGTAATTGGCATTGGTGCCAAAAAATGAAAGTTTCAGCAGCTATTTAAAAGGCATTAAAATTTGTTAAAAATAGTAAATGTTCTGATATTTAATTTGGGTCATTAATAAAACACATAACAAATTTCTCGCCCATGAACTCAAAATGCGTTTTTAATGGTACAAGCGACAATCACTGCAATTCGGATTTATTTGGATCGGGTAGTGGATCGCAGGTAAGAGGAGTGAGTGCGAACAAAAAAGGCCGGCAACAGAATGACAGGATTTCATCAAAATACCGACGTGTAAATGTATTAAAGTTTATTATATGGCTTTGCAGAATCCTGGATTCTGATTGGTCGACGTGCGGTCCGTAAAATGCTTATCCGGACCGTGGTCCGTATTTTCCCGTGTCCGGACCGGTTTCGAGTGTGTCAATTTGACAGGCTCAAATTTGAAACGTTTTTACACGTTTGTAAGGTCATTGTGTGGAGAAAAAGTATCCTTGGATCATTTTTAAGAGTAAGAATTCTTGGAAATATTAATAAGTACTTGTACCAACACAAATTTCATCGAAAAAGCTAAGAAAACAAGCCGTTTGAACTCTTACTGACAACCGTAAGTTTTGGCGGGAAAATTTTTTGATTTGTTTACTTGTTTCAAAAAATAAATAAAGATGAATTTAACGTCTTTAATACCATATTCTACACAAATATCATATAATCTGGGTTTATAAATATTTTTTCTGGGGGTGGGGGTTACCGAAAAAGTAATTATGTAGCGATTGTTAAACATGCTTTTCCGTAAACAATATTCGGTGACGAAACCAAATCTAAACGAAGAAAACTAACATGCAAATAAAACATAGCACAAAAATACCTTTATAGCGCTCAAATAAATATATGAAAATCAGAAAATGTGTTTACGAAGCCATATAATAAACGGTTAATTAACCTCGTTTTGCTCGGTCTGTACGGGAAAGTGTTTTGCCTTCGGTTTATCCGCACAGACCTCGCTCCTTCGTCGCTCGGTCTGTACGAAAACCTCAGGCAAAAACTTTCCCTTACAGACCTCGCTCTCGGTTAATAATCCTTTATTATCATATGCGTATCATTTTTAGTGTATGACTATTTTCGAAGACAACACTATTTTTAGCTCCGCGTATATGGACACAATCGCACAGCGCGCGAAGCATTACGGTTGACTGTGATTCTTTATAAATAGCCGTCCTTTTTTCCCCACTCGCTTCTCCTGCCTTGCCTTACTCCTTTAGCCTGTTCGACCTTCGTAAATTAAACCGCCCCCGGTAGTTGATATCTGTATTATCCTGACTCTATGCAAAGCAAATCAAGTGAATTCGATCTTCGTAAATTAAACCGACCCCGGTAGTTGATATATCTATATTATCCCCACTCTATGCAAAGCAAATCAAGTCAATCTCTGTAGAGACATGTACAAGTTCTATAGAAACTACTCAATTACCCATTTCCCAAAGTCCTGGGTCTAGTCGCGCGAATCCCATGTTGGAGGGACAAGAAATATGGCAGCACACATTTAAATTAAATGTTTAATGTAAAAAGGAGATCACATTTCAAAAATTGATATTTGATAGTAGATACTTCTAATTTTTTCCACATATTTGACGCCTGTCACTATATATTTCGTTCCTCCAAACGATCCCAGAATGCACTGTGATCTCTTATGGGAAAAGGCTAATTAGCAGCTTTCATTTTAGAAGCAATAGTAATTAAATGGAATCATAAAAATACGCCATCGCTCTGTAGAACTCGAGTGAAAGTTTTTTCCATATCACTAGTTGATTGACTAAAATGTTCCAAAATACAAGATCCTTGGTTTTAACAGAAAATCGTTAATTTCAATCCAACAAGAAGACAGCAAGATAGGCGGGGAAACGGGGGTCCAGGGGGCTAAGCCGATCGACAGATAAGGTTTGTCGCCGAGCCAATGGCGCGGAGCGCCGTTTCGGGCGTAAGTCCGGGGTGTGGCTACTAATTCCGCCCGGCTATTTACACCCGGGAAAACGAACGCATTTGCGAAGTCTGAAGTTCATCAACGATTGTGGGCGTGAGTCACCAACGGTGCTTTGGTTGTTGGTCATCCTCACTGATCTCAAAAATATGGCGGACTGTCATGAATAGCGAACACTGATTGGTCAAATTTAAAATTTGCATTATAACGACGGCATGACGACAGCGATATAGCAAACATTTCTTGATTGGGCTATTCTATTTTAAGATGTGTATCCCCCTCCCCTATCGAGGACACTGGAAATCACCATGGTGTAAGCGGTTTCCAACCTGGAAATCTTCAGGTGTGGGCTGTTTTCACTCAGGCTGAAATTCCTCAGCATCAGTATATTTTACCCTTCAGTATATGACTGGAATTCCTCAGCGTAAGCATATTATTGACCTGGATTTCCTCAACGTGAGTATATTATCTGACTGGAATTTCCTCAGGGTAGACATATTATTTGACCGGAATTCTTCAGGTTAAGCATATTATCAGGCTGGATTAATTCCTCAGCATAGGCATACAATCGGACTGGAATTCCTCAGGACAAGTATATTATTAGGCTGCATGGAGGTCCTCAGGGTAGGCACACCATCGAACTGGAATTTCTCAGCTTCAGGGTTAGCATATTATCAGGCTGGAATTCCTCAGGGGCAAAAGTGCTGGGGACCATGTCCTCGATTTGGGGGGGGGGGGTGTACAGATATTAAATGGAATAGCCTAATTGATGATTTCTTGCCAAAGCTTTTAATTAAAAAAATAAAGGCGAAATAATTGCTTAGAGAAGTGAGTAAAGGTGCCGACGTTAACGAAGGTAGGTTTGTTTTAAATATCGATGTATTGTTTGCTTTACATTGGCTTTAAGAACTGATCGTTGCGTATATTTTAAATGAAAAAGATAGCGTATAATTTCAGTGTTGATTAACCTTTTTTATTTATATTAAAATGTTTAAATAAAGAAGAAAGCAAAGTTTTTTGAATGCGAGAGTTTGAATCATTTTATTTCAAACTCAAATTTTATCGATAAAGGCAGTTTATTTTTATAAAGAACATTTGAAAACGTCTTGCGAAGTGTTTGAGGTTGAATTTTACCTTAAATTGAAGCTTATATTACGTACTATATAATAACATACCTAACATATATATGTTTTGGGAATTGATAACTTTGTAATTAAAAGTGATATTTTTAGGGGATTTTTCATTTGTAAAACTATTCTTAACAAAATTATCGTGTTACCATGACACCTACTTTAAATACTTCATGTTCGGAAAATACAATGGTTTAGTCAGCAAGGCGAGGGGTTTCTGCATGCATGTATTTTCTAGTTACATATTTGAAATATTCATGATTCTCAGTTACGTGGTGTAGAACAATTCTCCAACGTCGAGGTTTTAGCATGTCAAATCTCCCTCAGAACGCTGAAAATGCCATTTCAGACACAATAGATGTCAAACTTTCCCGGCGTTGCATGGTCCGACGGACCCACAAAAAGTTTCTTTCCCCCATCCTCCCCATCCAAGCCAGTCTTCTGCCGCCTTTAAACAGCGGTACATTATCTGTAACGAAGTCGTGTCAGAAACTGGATATATTCTGCTGTTACGGCTCCGGGATCAGATTTGGGAGTTGACTGAGTATCCTAGCTCGGTTTACATCAATGCTCTACCGCGGATTGTATTCTCTGCTAATCTATTGTCATTAATGTGAACTCAAACAATATCAAGCCATGCTGAAAACTCTTTGTGTTGTATGGCAGCACTCAAATTATTAGTTGTACTTGAGTTTGATGAGGACTTGAAGGGTATTGTTTTTGATAGCTCCGCGCCCTATAGGTGTCAGATCTATATCCAATGCTATAAGTGGTCAAGCTTTTAACCTCGTCAATATAGAATTTTTGCAGATTTTGAAATTCAAAAAGTTTTTGAATATCTACTAATAATACAAAATTCTTATTGTTCCAAATTTACCATACATATTAAAGAAAACGTTTCAGAAGCGCCATTTATAGCAATTTGTATAAAACTTACAAAGACCTTTATAACTATATCTGAAGATAAACACCATGGCCTTCTATCTGATGATAAACAACTTGCCCTTGGCCTTGTTTCGGTTCCTTTGTTCTTACCCACTTACCCGCCTTTGGAACTTTCCATTGAACTTTCATTCTTAAAGTTGGAAAGTCTGAAGTCTTGTTTAAAATCTGTATGGTCTCGATGTCATTAACATTAACAGCCGGGGAAAACGATTTACAGTTTGTAAAGCTTAACGTCCTGTTACATCCAGAGGCTATAAACGTAAAAATAGAAAAAGTATTTGGAAAAACATATTAACGGTTGAAATCACTATTTTAACGATCTACTCATGTATTTTTGCGAAATTCTAATACGATGACAGAGTCATTTTTTTAAGAAACGAACTTGAAATTTTACTGACTATATTAAACGTGATGCTTCAATTTGTATTTCGTGAGTATGCCACAAAGATTAAAAAGTCAGGGTTCCCACCCTGCACGACGTTGAATATATGATTATTAAACTTTTTAGAATTTAGTTTAATTAGCTCACTATTTTGAAGTACTCATAAGCACAATATATAGGCCTACATTCACTCAGCTTCTTTCTTGGCATTCCACATGGAGGCAAATCTTCGCCTCCTCCTGAATAGTCTACACAATAAAAATAATATATTGTTGACGTTCTTAGCGGTTATAAGATCATATGCATTTTCAGAGAGCTACGATACAGTATTATATTTGAATTTCCAATATTCAGTAAGGTAACGGCTTTACACGTCGCGATTTGTCGCCACAATTCCTCTTCATGTATACATACATACAACTATTTACGCGTTCTTATTCGTTTACTTTTTCTTTAACTTTCAATCAGGATTCAGTTTAAAATGTTAAAAACGATGAAACTTGATTCTCAAGCAACTTGGTGCTCTTCTTCAGGTATTTGTGCAATATAGACCACCATATTGCGCAACTATTCCTGAAGAAGAGCAACATTCTGTCGTTTTAACCTTTTGAATTGAATCCTGAT